CACACAAACAGCACACAAACATGTATGTACGTAGCGGGGAATGTGGTGCGACTAAGAGTAAGGAGACAACCCCAATTCTCCCCCCAATGACAAACAATGAATATTGGATGAAACAGGCCACAGCATTTATTAAACTTACAACTGTAGGACTCATCCGAACGTCATTCTTTTTCTTTAATTCAAATATAAATAAACACATATATATAAATATATATATATATATATATATATATAAATATATATATACCATAATTAACATATAAATTACACTTATTGCCCTACAGCCTCCAACTTAAATAACCATCCTTGCCAACGAACTTAACCAGGTGCCTATGCACCAAAACTTTACCCACTGGTGTCTCGCCATCCCCCTCGTCCAAACCAAATATTCCCATCATCTTAAATGCTCTACCACCAGCCGGCTTTTTGCTGGGTGGGCACGTCCTATTCGGTAATTTAAAAGTTTACCTTACAGAGCAGGGAAGGTTGAGACATTCCATCTGCTCCCCAACCCTGTTGTCAAGGACACGCACCCCGCCACAAACGCTGCTGTTTTAAACCTAAAATCAGCGGGGAGCCCCACCAAAATCAACCAGGCCTGTTCCACCACTTCCTGCATGCCAAGACGAAAAAAGGTCTAGCCGGACCTTCATCACCCAGAAACACAGTAGCTGCCACATGCGCGAAAATACCCTGTGGCAAACCAAAATCCCCTTACCTTCAAACACCTCGAAAGGCCCTCCGATTTTGCTTCGTACGGCAGCGTACCATGCACTGATTATGGGCCCGCTGCCAAAAGATACGAGAAATTACCTCCAACCAATCGGGGTTATTTGTTTTATTTATTTTTTTATTTTATTTTATTTTTTTTATTGTTTTTAGAACTGCTTTTGTTATAACATACTACAAATCCTGTATAACAAATCCAGAACTTATTATAATAATCTCTATAATCATAATCTCTCTTCTTTTCTGAAACCAAAATGTTAAACATAACTTAACATAACTTAACATATATAACTTAACACACAGGGTCATACAGTGAACCCAACACCACGCATCACGAAACAACTAAAACACGCACCAATACCCTCTTAGGGGCAGACGCCAAACACCACCTTGGTATCGTCCCAAGCTCAATGTCCGCCAAGTGGATAACTCGAACATTAGCGACAGCTAAACCTGCTCCGGGAGGAGCCGAACACATTTCATACCTCCGGCACCAAACCAACGAACCTCCGCTTCAGAAGGCGCACAACCCAATAGCTCACCTCCCGGATGGACACCCGCATCCCACCTGGGAGTATAACCAGGAAAAAGAACATCCAGATATCAGTTTTCCAAGTGCACCCTGGGAATTGTTACTTGTACCCAAGGAACCGGTACTCATTTAACTACCTCAAAGGAATGAATGGATGAGCCACCGCCGCTGAGAATTGAACCCGAACCCCCTCAAGGATTGAACAAATTCCACGAACCAGCATTACTTCACAGAGACATCTCACCATACCCCCTCCTGGTTCTTTGTGCTGACATACCCATCCTAAAAGCCTCCAAGGCAGCGCTAAACCGAGAGGAATGCTACAAGATTCCTTGCTGACAATCCCCAGAACCATCAGACTTGAGTGAAAGACCCAAAAATTGGGAATGGGAAAGAAAAATCCCATCCGCATAACCCAAAAGAGGGCCTGTGCATACTGGGCACAGCTCACAGTTCTATACAAAGGAAATGTGCAACAGCCGAACTGCCATACCCTTCCCGAAAAAACAGCCGACCTGGATTGTCAAATACTTATAGTGATATGATCTGCAGGGCGCCGAATGGTGGCAAACAATACCCCACCACCGCATGGCCTACTAGGAATCACCAATACCCCAACATGCACGGCCCCCAGGAGCATAGCGTCCAGGTGGCTATGAAAACCGATCCCCGGACCCATTCCGTCACTCTGCCAGACTGAGCGACCAGATGTCCGCCGGGTAAGGCGTCCCTTCCAGAACCGCCTGCGAGGCGATTGCCCCTTAAGCAAGCGAACCACTGGAGGGAAGGAGGCTGTCAGCCGAGTAATGGCTTGAACAACTCCCAAATTGTAGCAGTGAAACACTACCCTTAGATCCTGAAAATGTGACTGCCAGACCTCCCCAACCACCAAAATGGGGAAACGCTCCAAAAAGCCCAGATTCTTTGAGAGCCCAGAGACATGCCAATTGTCCGGCTACACAGGAGCACACCAACTAGAGCCCAGAATGGCCCCAAACCCCACCACGCCAGCTGCGTCCGTAAATAGGCGGAGGTCGGCGTTAGAAACCTCCGGCCTTTGCCAGCAGGACCGGCCATGATATATAGCTAAGAAGGGAACCCAAACTGTCAAAATCTCCTGCAGCGGCCGAGTGAGCCGAATGAAATGGCAAGGCCCGGCGACCCCTGTCGCCGTAGCCAGGCGCCGGTTAAAGACACGCCCCACGGGCATGATCCGACAGGCAAAATTCAGCTCACCCAGGAGCAACTGCAGGCAGCGCAGCTGAATCTCACGCCGCCCCATGGCCAAGGCCCCCTCGTGCCGCCAGCCTTGAATCTTATTCAAAGGCAAGCGGCAGTCCCCCGCCAAAGAGTCAATCTCAATGCTCAGAGAGCTGAGAAAGTGACCGGGCCCACCGTCTTGCCGTGTGCCAACGGGATCCCAAACTAATAGAACACCTCACCCAGAACCCGTTGCAGCAGCGCACAGGCTGTCAAATCGGCAGGACCCACACAAATGAAATCATTGAGGTAGTGTAACAAGGAGTCTATCCCAGTCTCCTCCCTCACCACCCAGTCCAAGAACGTGCTGAAGCATGCAAAGTAACAACAGGATATGGAACTACCCATGTTACATGCCTACAAAAACACAGCCCAGAAGATGGTGACATTCCGGGTGCACCGGCAGTAGACGGAAGGCCGAATCCACATCAGCCTCGGCCAACAAGGCCCCATGGCCCTGACCATGTCAACTGCCACGTCAAAGGATACATAAGATACCCGGCAGAGTTCCCAAGAGATGTAGTCATTCACAAAACCCCCCCCAAGGGGTACGATAAATGGTGTATCAGACAGTACTTGTCCAAAACCCATGCTCAACCCATCCAGTAGGATGCCAGCTGCCCGACAATTCCTATAAACTGGCGAGCCAAGGGCGCATCGCGTTCATGACCACTGACGTCATCGCCCTCTGACCCCAAATCCCCTATCTCGCCAACTTTACCCCACTTAAAGCAGTGGGAGGCGGGATGGGCTCCCCCACAAGTGGAACATTCGTGCTGGAAACGGCAAGATGCCCCCCATTTGCAGTGACTGTCGTTGATTTTCAACAACAGCCCGGCCTCTGATGCACGGCCGGTTAGGAGGAGGATTCCCCCCCACCACCCTCCTGAGAAAGGACGAGAACCCACCCTGCTGGGGTGCCAGGCAGGTCACAGTGGAGAGCCAGAGGCCAATGTCAATCTGTTTCCACAAAATTGAGGGGCGTGCTGCCAACCGTTGACAGAACTGCTCGTCATATTTCCACCACCCCAGACTGCCATAGGTACGACAAGCGTACCAAATGGTATCCTGGTAGCAGAACAATGTGGAGCACTTTTGCGGAGCCCTTTCCCCAATTACACTGGCCAGGAATGCAAATGCGCAAATCCAATTCGCGCAAGTCTTCGGGATCTTCCGGTACTGGTATTTCTCCTCGTTTTTTTTTTTTTGGGGGGGGGGGATTCCTACCCCCTCCTCCATGGGAAGGAGGGAAACATCTCAACAAAGTCTCCCCTCCAAATATTTTTCGGAAACCTCCTGTTGAAGGTGCAAGCCCAAGGGCCCTGACCAACACATAGGTGGACCCACACGAAACGGCAACACCCGGGTGGTCATCTAATGCTAGGGACCCTCCAGCAACAGCAGGTGCTGCGGCACCCGACACCGTAGCAGGGGTGCCAGCATGCCCACCCACTCCGGGAGAGAGTAACCCCGTGACCCCAGAAACAGTCAAAACCCCCTGTGGCTGCAACACCGCGAACCACACTAACCGGAGCTGACCATCTAATGGACGGTCCCAGGAACAGTAGCCAGATCCTGTAAGAAGAGCTGTGGAGAGGAGCTCACACCCCGCAGAGGAGGGCAGCCGAGGTAAGTACCCGGGGGGCACAGGGGGGACATAGGGACCAGGCATAGGGACAGGAGAGAGGGGGGAGGAGGGAGGGAGACAGAGAGCAAGGAGAGGGCTTAGAGAGAGGAAGGGGGAATTGTGGACAGAATCCAGGGGAGAGGGGGACCCCCCCGACCGATCTTCATCCCCAGAGGAGCCATCAGAGCCCAGGGAGGACCCCCCTCCACACCCCAACGGCAGCACAGCCGACTCACCGCCACCGGCCCGGCTCTGGATCCGCCGGTGCGCAGACCACGTTGGGGCTGGGAAGGCCTCCCAGACCCCGCAGGATGCAGAGTAGATTTTCTGACACCCCTGGCCCACTGACCACGGCCTGGGGGTGCACGGGGGGCGGCAGATGAAGCAGGCCGCATGTCAGATGGAGCTGACATGCGGGCCTGGTGGTGCCTTGGGCCTGGGCTCTGGTTCCTATACCGGGCCCGAGGTGAAGGATCAGGGCTCAGCCAAGCAGGTGGGCAGAAAAGCCGAACCATGCTTCTGAGGCCTACAGGGGCAGTAGCTGCGTGGGAGGCCCAGGAGAGGCCTGACCGCGGTGGGGGTGAACCCACACCGGCAGGCAGGCCAGGTTGGAGGGGAGCATATTGCTCCTGAAGGTGCCTGCCATCATCCAGGGCAGCAGCAGCTCTGAGGGCAGCAGGATTGAATCCACATCCATCCCTCAAGCAGGAAAAGTCACCAGGCCCAGGACAAACAGGAGCACAGAGGCAGGGAAGTTGTTTGCTGGCCAGAATCCCAAATAGCACTGAGGTAAGATGATCCCTGCCCCACTACAAACCCATAACCACTCCCCTAAACACATATAGCCAACCACTAGCACCATCCCCACACTCATATATGTGCCCTTGTCCGTTTAGCTGTGCTGACTCCCCAGGGCCTGCATCCTCACACAGCATACTAACAGTAACCTCACAAACACAAACAGGACCCTAACAAACACACACACACAGCACACTACCAGTTCCCTAACACACAAGCAGCACCCTCACACACAGTACATTAACAGCACCCTCACAAGCGCACACACAAACAGCACCCTCACACACAGTACATTAACAGCACCCTCACAAGCGCGCGCACACAAACACCCTCACCCACATAGCACACTACAAGCACCTTCACACACACACACACATTACACTAACAGCACCCTCACACAGCACACACACACACAGCAGTGTATGTGTGTGTATATATATATATATATATATATATATATATATATACACATACATGCATATATAGACGCGGCGTGTGTTTGTGTTTTAGGGTGCACACCCTAATGCAATAGGCTGCGCACGCCTATGCTGATTATTGTTGCTGTTTTACTGTGGTGTAGCGCAGGCAAATAGACTTCTCACTAGTGCACTTGCACACTGGGTATTTCAAGTAACCTAGCCTAATTGACAGAGAGTCTACTAACTTGGTTTCCACTATAGGTTGCTGGATGCTCACATGCCTATTGAAGCCAGAATTAGCTTACCCTCACAGAGTCTAGTCCAGCAAATATCTCAATGTATACCACTATTCTGTATTTTCTATATCAATGCACAAGTCCCTGCAGCTATCCACTAATTAGACATGTATGCTTTGCTTTATTATTTTTATTTTTGTTATCTGTTTATTAATATAAAAGGGCAGTACTGCGGACGTTTTAATAATAAACATTCCATTGCTCAAGGTTGCATGCAGCAGTCACCTAGTACCTTCCCTAACTACATGGTGTTTATTAAAGAGGGCCCCAGTTGATTCATCCTCTTACCCATTGTCGGGCATATCTTGTGTTATCTTTTATACTATTTAACCAAGCCTGTCTATATATCTTGTTTTACTCAAATGTCAATACCAACATTTATGTGTTTCTCAACACTTCAAAAATAAAGAATTAAAAACAATTTGCTAACAAATGCTTTCTTGACTAAAATAATCATTAATAGCATAATGCAGAATAGAACATAATTTAAGCATGAATTACCTGTACTATAAACTCTTTTTGCAACGGTCGCCATAACAACGCTGGTAAAACCAGTCCCTGCTCCAAATTCTAGCACTGTAGAGCCTCTGAAAAGATCTTGCTTCCATAGAATGTAATCTGCTAGAAACAATGCTCCACGCCAGATCTACACAAAACAATGAAAATGTTGTCACTTATAA